TGGTCAAACAACTTCTTTATATATTTAAGGTAATATGCAAAAACGCGCCATCGTCTTCTTCAATACGATTTAGTGCTGGTTAAACGAATTCAAGTATCGGGTAAGGCTATAGAAACAATATACACAGGAATTTACTAAAATAATCTATTAGAGAGGTCTTCACGATGTTTCTGTGGATAGGACTCTCGGGAAACAGATAAAGTAAAAGTTCGCTCCTAGCATTATTATATATCTATTTCTTCAGGCGATGTAACCTGTTACAGGTTCTCAGGTGAACAGACAGTTATAATAATTTAATTAAGCAAGTTATCTACTAAGAAGATGCATTTTAATGAATTTCTCCAGCTTTAGCACGTCATATGATTAATTGATATTAAGAGGTCTAATACTCGATTTTAGAATATAGTTATCGGTTAGTGAGAAAATACAATTTATAAGATAACGAAGTGTTAGCTGAATGTAATCTTTATTTCTCGAATAAAATCTGATATGGCACTAAAATATTTTTGCTACTATATAAAAATAAGATAAATTTAGCGATAAATATCAAAGTTAATTGAAAGATGTAAGGCTGATGAGGATAAGGATGGATACCTGAGATAGTAATATAAATTAAAACAATGAATGAGATTCGGATGAAAAAATAAAGTTCAAAATAATGAGCGATGTTAAAAGCAGTCAGCTCAAGAGAATGCTGTCCGTCAGATAAATTAGCTAAATAATATTCACCAATTAATAATTACATATCACGCCATGACAGATTAGGTAGAAGAGACAGCCAAGAGTGACGTAAACTATACAGATATGAAAAAAGGCAATATTCATAAAGAATATGATCATATCATACGGGCGACGGAAGGGAGTTCACAAAGTCGATTATTGCATTTATCGTCTCATAAGGCTTATCAGAGTGTACCCAATGCCCAGCACCTCTGATACGGATAAGGCTGTAGTTCGGAAACAGTCGGCTAATTAAAGGGAGGTCTCGATCGCTATATAATGTGATGAATTAGGAAAGAAACGATTAATGAGAAAATGTGTAGTCTATCTAGTGGAGGAATAGTAATAAAGTAGAATGGCATAATATAGATTTATATGCATAACAAAGAAAAGTTGAATCAACAATTAGTAATAAATAGTATAGTTAAGAGATTCAGTCTAGAAGGCATAAAA